ATGGACCCAAACCAACTTGAGGTTTTTCACTACTGACTACTCCCTACATGATGAAAATAGTCGGAGTCGAAAAGCTTTTAATCACCTCGAGAGGTTCCCTCGTGAGTGAAAAATTGATTTTCAGAAAAAAGCGAAACGAAAACCGAATACATCATCGAAGGCATTTAAGTGATGTATTCAGTTCCGTTGTTCGAAGAGTATCGTACATACTTTTTGCTTTTCTAAATCGAGAATTTTTTGCGCTGTTTGTTCTGAAACATTATTAACGACATCATTGCGTTGTTCTAGTGTGTGATGACTTTGTTCAACTAATCTAAATGATGTAGAGGAAAAATAATTGATGCTTTTCGTCTGGAGATATGAGTAGATATTTCTTACTTTTGATTTCGCTCTAGTAATTCAGAAATTTTTTGGTTTAATTCTTCCACTTTTGAACTACGATCAAACAAATCTTTTTTCATTGTTTCATTTTCCTAAACGCACATCATTTTTGAACCTAATATTTCACTACAGATGAGAGAACACTATAACAAACTTTGACTATACGCTGAATATTGTATAATAAAATACTAGTTTCCATTGTCGGATACGTTTGAGATGATGAAAATAGACCTCCACGAGATGTTTCAATCTAAAAATTGTTAAAAATAATAATATATTTGTGTTTTCATTCATACTACCTTTTCGTTTATTAAATCAATTTTTTCGCCAATTTTATTTAAGGACAAGCGTAGTTCGGCATTTTGATGTCGATTTTCATTAATAATCAAATTTGTTGATGAGCTGTCTATGGGTGGACTGGAATGTACAGCTAAAGAAAGAAGTTTAACATGAATTAAAGTAGAGGATAAAAGTATTGACCACTTTACTTTTACAACTTTTTCCCTTATAGTAAGTATCTAAAGGACTCTTATCTAGAGAATGATATGAGTAAATCTAAGTACATTGATCATATAATAGTCGCTTATATACTAAATAACACGTAGAGTAGTAACGAAAATGTTTATTAAATGTTTGAAACATTTATTAGCATTTAGCATTTGTAGTCATTAATATTGAAATAAAATATTCATATAAACGGTTTTCTAAAAATGGTTTCTAAAATATTCTGCATTTCATTCAAATATAATATTTATACAACTGGAAAAGAAAAACTTAGGTCTGTTCCGACAAACTCAGTGATTATGTAAGGCGTTCTTGATTCTCTAACGAGGGAACTATCCCAAGTGTTAATCACAGATGCTAACGAGAGGTATCCCAATCGATAGAGCTCGACGAGCTGATTCTAGTGGCATAAAGCATTTTTCCCAATGTTTCTTGAAGACCCAGTTTTCTAGAAAACCAGTTTTTCAGAAACTTTAAAAAATAACCAAA